GTGTTGCAAGGCGCACTATTTTTAAGACTCAAAATCTTTTTTTTTTTATAGGGATTAAATTTGTTTAAAAAACTAAAATAAAAGCAAAAATTATGGGATTCTGGGGAGGGAATCAAATCCCCTACCCACCTCTGGATTGATGGGTTAATATGGATCAAATTAGTCGTTTATTTTTGTAGTCAAGGGTTTAATTAATTTGGGATTGTACACAATGAGAACATTTACCTTTGATATATGGAGGTCACAATTACTTACAACCATTTGATGTGGAATCCGACAGGTTGGATGTATCTCAAAATCCAAAAAAATTTCTTTTGAAGTTTGAACGTGGTCAATGGAATAAATGCAATCATCTAATTTCTCATCCAATGATCAAGATTAATTGTGACCACCTTGTACCAAAGATAGATGATCTTATTGTATGCTTCTCCAATGAATTATCAATTAGTTCTTATCCGATTATTAATTTTTTATTTGGTGATTGCAGGTGATTAAGATTTATAGAAGCTTATTAAGGTATAGTAAGGAAAGATTAGGTAGTGATGACATGTAATTATGAGGACTATGATAACTCAAACTTAAAACTACATTTTTTATTTTACCACTAAAATTCTGGGTATATATGTATGTAAACATTCAAATTTTGGGGATGTAGGTAAACTTGTTAGACCAATGATCAACTAGAAAACAATAACCAAGAATTAAATTCATGGTTATTTACAAAAATGGAGAATAACAACATAAACAGTAATAATTCAAGAATAAATTCCAGCTACAATCTCCCAAAGACACTAAATAAATGCACAAAATCTGTTGCTTTTTTTGAATGGAAGGTCTATACCCATACTCAAAAAACAAAAGAGCCATCTCTTAGTCTCCTCCATTCCAACCCTTCCTTTAATGATTTGAAAAGAATTCTTCTAAAACCTAAGTTGGGAAGTGATAATCAAAACAATTCAAATAAATGAAATAAACAAGGAAACCCCACCAAAAATACATCAGCAATTTCACTGAAAATCTTCATTCTCCAAAGCCGGTCTTGTTCGGATCTCAGCCGCCACAGGTGCTCTCATATTCCCCACCTCCTCGATACGCAAATTCTCCCCTTCAATAGCCTGCTTTTCCATATTAACCAAATTCGATCTCTTTCTATATCGCAAGAACACATATGCAATTAGACCCAACAAACCCAACCCAGCTACCCCTGCAACCACTGAACCAACTGCAATTTTCCACGCTCTCAAATGATCCTTCTTTTTATGGATCGGTTGTGGACTCGATTCAGGAGATGGAGATAAGGATGGAGTTTTCGATTCAATAATCACAGCAAAGTGGCCTTGAGTTGAAGTATAGCAAACATTGGGCAAAACCATATCACTAAGTTCAATTGACCCATTTAAATGGAACTGGACACACTTGGCCTGGGCTCCCCTGGGCACTATCATCCCACTGAAATTGATCGAAATGGGTTTCATGCTTGCTCGTAAACTAAGCTCTGGTAAATTGGTTGCTGAGAGATTCAAAGCATTGTAACCGAGAAGACCCAAAACTGGGGTGATAAAAGAATAACCCGGCACGTCATAATAATACGAAGACCAGTTGCTAAGATTTTGATAAACCAATGCAAGCCTCTTCACGTAAGGTGTCTCTATAACTCCTCGTGGGATCGAAAACTCTCTATATCCGAGGCCTCTCACCCTCATGCTCCCACTCCGAAGCCTCACAACTCTGAGCTCAATGCCAGTCATATTTGAGGGAACAGAAGCTCCATAAATAACACCAGTGTGTGGATGGATGAAGGCCTTATAGGCATGACCCTGAAGAAGGGAGTCTAAGTGTCTTGAGCTTCTAATCAGTTGTTGGCCTTCATAAACATCATTACTTGTAATGCGAGCATGGACTTCAGAGATAAATGATAGAACAACAGTAAACAAAATTAGGGTTCTAAGCTTGAGAAAACCCCAAATAGACTTCATCGAGTTACATTAACTTTCAATTACTGTCTCGGCCTGCTCAAATTCTCGCTCTATTAATCAGAAGATGACCCTGTAAAAGTGAAATCCCGCAATAACTATGAATGTGATATAGACTACGTCTTCCGAAGAAAATCTCATAATGATCATATATTGAGATTTGAGCAAAGTAAATGAAAAAACAAATATCATAAGGAATACATGTCCATTACTGATGGCCTCAATAAGAGGAAACTGTTGTGCCAAAATTATGACCAGAAAAACTATTAACATATGTTGTCTCTTGATCATTTCATGTTCCCTTTTTCTTTTTCTCTTTCCAAATGAATTCTCAACAAAGAATCAAAATGGACCTGTCACCTTTAAAGCTAAAGAATCAATCAGCACTACTCATTCTTGACGTGGCAATTGACAATTTTGATAGGAACTTATATTATCACAAGAACTCTTGAAATATTAAAGAAACTAATAAATATATTGAAGCCCAAAATAATATCTTAGCTCCAACTAAATTGGATCCCTTTTTTCCTTAAATGAAAAGGAAACTGACAAGGGAGAAGAATTCATAATAGTTCAAGTTCCCAAAGGAAAAAAAAAATACTTCAATAGAACAATCCATATTATCAGAGACCCGAAAACCATAGAACCACAATCATGAATTTTTTTCAGAATAAAATTTTCTATAAAATAGAAAATTCCCTGCAAAATCAAGTACTTCTATCTATAGTATCAACTTATTAATTCAGCACTTATTTAACAAAATTAAAGAAAAAAAAGATCCACCGTTTTTTCAGCAAGACAGCATATAAAGAGAAAAATCAAGGGAAAATACCCCAGAAATTACAGAAAATTGAAGAAGGAAAAAGACTAGATTTAACACCTTCATCATAGAAAACACCAAGTATCTTCATCATTTTATTTCTCAAATATGTCATTATTAAGGAGACCGGCAGTGCTATTGAAAATTGAACATTGTAATGAATCCTCGAACATGAACCTGGTTTACAATGCAGCAGCAACATAGATTTTTCAGCTTATTTGAAACAAATAAATAAATCACAAAAGCACCGACACTCTGGTTTATTTAGAAAATATGCTATTTTTGCAGTTTAGGAAATACAAAAAATAGAACTTTGATAAAAAAGAACTGCATTTTTTTCAAATAAAATAAATCAAAAATAGCGACAACCCAAGAAAAAAAAACCATTTTTTACATAACCATTCTCAAATAAAATAAAGCAAAAATAGCCATAACCCAAGAAAAAAAAACCATTTTTTACAGAACCATTCTCTCCTGTTCTGTAAAATTCTTTCAAGAAGATCTCAGTATAATTCAGAACCAAAAATTGCAGAAGAATTCAATATAAAAAATAAACTGGTTTTTTCCAGAATATTTTTAGTAAAAATGAAGGGGGAAATAATAAAGATGACTGTCCATCAGTTATCGGTAAACATCACAAACCAAAACCTCAAAAAAAGAAAGAAAACAGAGAATCAGAAGCCACTGAACTTTAGCACACCTGGTTTCCTAGAGCTTGTGATCGGCTTCAATATCCTGTTTTCCAGCTTCATTTCAAGAAAAGAATCTCAAGGTAGTGCAAAAGCCGAAAACATGCAAACTTATCAGAATTCAGGCCCATTACAAAAATTTTTTTACCGTGTTTCGGTAAAAATGGCGCCATAAAATGTACAGGTTTTTCGGCTCTCGAAAAGGCAGGAAAGGGTAGGTTGGGTGATGGTATTTACAGTTGCAGAGTAGCATTAATTGATCTCCTCTGTCCGTAAAAAATGATACCCCAGAAAAGCTACCATCTTTAAACTTATTCCTGAAACGCCATGATCAGTGGAACTTTCCATAAAAGGAAGGTAGTGCAACGTACAACAGCTGTTTCAGTAAAAGGAAAGAGATAATTACAAGGGCAGCATACACAGCTCAGAATTGTTATAGTTATTGGACCAAAATACCCCTAGGGTGTATCAGTCATTTCCTGTGCCTTAGAAGCCCGAAACACGTAGAGTTGGTCAGTCCTAGGCCTGGGCCGGCCCTAGTCAGTCCAGGGTCGTCCTGAGCTCAGACCAAACCAAAGAACTCCTGGCCTGGCCTTGGCCCTCGCCCATGCCTTTGCCCTTGCCCTGGTAGGGTCACGATTGGGATGGATCCAATTGATGTTTACGTTATTTGGATCCATCCAAACCTGACCCATCAGGTCTAATGTTTGGACTTAGATCCGCCCGACCCAATTGTCAAGAGTATTAGCTAAATTTCTCTTGCTTTTATTACAGTCATGGGAAGAAAAGTAAAAATTTAATGATTCCCCCTCTCTCTCTCTCTCTCTCTAGAATTCTAATCTCTAATGGGATACATGCAAAATGGATCACGGATTGCTTAGGATCCATTTATGATAAGTTGTTAAAATTGAATAACCCAAGATGAGTAGGGATGTTTGTTGCTACTTATTTGGGAGGGCTCATAAATATTCTCTTCTTCAACTCCTTATCATTTATGATTTACTCTCTCTCTCTCTCTAACTTATGATTTACCCTCTCACTCATAGGTTCAGCTCCCTCTCTCTCTGTCTAAACTGATGTAGTGAAGGTAGCTTTAAGTGAGCACATAAATTAGGAAACTAAAGGAAATATCAAATATATTATGGCCAGAGAAGTTATGGAACTCTTTCTTCTTATTATAATATGCATGGGTTTTAATAAGGAAATTGATATTTGTTAATAAAGAAATGTTTCCTCTCTCTCTCTTCCCCTCTCTTTTATTTTTTGGATAATTCAGTGGCGAATACAGCCCCTGCAATTTTTTAAAATAATTAGATTTTCGAAGCTCTTAGTGGGATCGGAGAATGTTTCCTCTTTATCTCTCTTTCTTAATAAAAAATTATTTCTCTTTTCTCTCTTTTTTTTTGGATAATTTACTGAGAATACAGGGCCATACCATTTTTTCAAATAATTAGATTTTCGAAGCAGTCAATGAGATTTGAGAGCACGACATGCAACTATGGTAATGGGGTGCTACCAATGTAACCCGGCCAGGAATCTTTTCTCTCGATCATGGGAGCCATGAATGAGAAAATTAAAGAAATCTATTGATTCTCTCTGTCTAGCATTAAATAAGTCTTTAAATGAGAATCAAGGAATCTGTATCTAGCATTCAATGGATGCTTCAATGAGAATTAAGGAATCTCTCTCTCTCTCTCTCTGAGTTATTCTCTCTCTCTCTTATTTATGCCCATTGACAAAGATTGGTGTATTCAAGTTAATTTCATTTACTATATCATTATTTATGTTCTAAACGTTAATGGATTACTAACTGTATGAGCAACGTATACCGTAGAATCTAATGGTACATCTTTTTTGGACCAAAGAATCAAATGGTATATCCAATGGCATACATTTGACACAAGAAGCCATTCGATAACGCTCAGCCTCCCGATCTCACATCTGACGGTTAAGAATGACTATAATTTTTCCTTAAATATAAATAGCCTTATTGTTTCATGTCATAAAGATTGTGTACATGACTTTGTATCTGATACTAAAACTTCATAATTAGGTGCTCCATTTTCCTCAAGAAAGTAAAAAAAATTTCTTCACAAACAATACAGTCAATGACACACCCTTGGCTACAAAATTTCTCATCCAACAGCTAGAGCAAATTGTGGCTTATCTCTATAAAACATAAATATTCTTTTGGTATACTTTCCCTTTTGTTGCAACCTTTCTCGAGCCTTATATTGATTTATTTTGTTATGCACTTTCAGTCTAGAAAGAGATACGCATAAGCCAATGTAGCGAGAGAGAGAGAGAGAGAGGTCATCTCAGTTTTAAGTTTCCAATCTTCCATTTTTTTCCTTTTTCTTTGAATATCAAGCGCCGAACCCGAATCTCAAACGCTTGTCTCTCGACATATACATAAATCTCAAACTACCACAACTCATGAATACACATCTAACTGTTTTCCCCCTCGAATTTCTCAACTGGAACATATGGGTGTGTTTTTTCAGCTACTATTGCAACATATACCTTCAGCGAACGGATAAATACTGCACCACATTTATACCAAATTGTCAAATTAAGACCCTCGAAATGGCGTCAGTAAGAAAATGGCAACTGCCATTTTCTGGCAAGATATCAGGACATAAAACAATTTTTCCAGCTGGTTGAGTGGTCAAAATATCTGGAAAAAGAGGCTGGTTGAGCCATCGCCAAATGATCTGAGGTCAGCTGGTTTCACCAGAGCTCTGCATAGAGGACATGTTCTCTCCCTCTCAAACCTGGAATGGGGCGAAAGAAGGTATCAAGTTTTCGGATAAAAGTTTTAAGCTTTTGGAGTCTGGTGCATGCAAACTCTTGGCTCAGAGAGAAATACAAAATAAGTAAATGAGTATCAAGACAGTGATTTGTTAAAATTTCCTTCAAAAATAATGCCTTTGAAATGTGCATTTGAAAAGAGACGCATACGAAGCCTGACCATCCCAGAAAAATTCATCAATGACAAACAGTTTAGGGTACTCTCTCTCTCTCTC